TTAGAGAGAGAGAGAGAGAGAGAGAGAGAGAGAGAGAGAGAGAGTACGTCAAAAACAAATGAAACAGGGTCACCATGTCTGAGTACACAAGTCCCACGCCTATCTGAACTATGTACATAATTTGTTTTGATGGGGGGAGGGGGTTTCGGTTGTAGTAAGCATTTTACGGCACTTGCAACACAATTACGTCACTTAATGCCCAAGATTAGAGGTTTTGCAAGAGAATAAAAAAGACCCCAAAAAAAAAGAAAGATGAGGGATAAGGACGATAAATATTTAATGGAAAAGAAAGAGCAAACTACATTAGAGCACCCGCCAGCCCTCCACAACAACAAAAACATCACAACATGTCAAAAACAACAATAACACACTATATCAAAGTACCCCAGCCCCCAGCCTACCTGTGAACCTCCACAGCCAGAAAGAGAGGGCTACCTGGACGCCCTTTGTCAGACATCACGATGGTGTCAATAACGTCCACTACCACACGACACTCCAAAGATGACCACTACCACACAACACCTCGGGGGATGACCACGGTGTCCACTACCACAAGATACCTCAAAGACGACCGCCTTGTCTACTACCACACAACACCTCGGGGATAACCACAATGTCCACTACCACAAGATGACTCAAAGATGACCGCAATGTTCACTACCACAAGATACCTCAAAGATGACCACAATGTTCACTACCACACAACACCTCAGAGATGACCACAACGTCCAAAAGATGGTCGGTCACAAAACAATGACCACTAGTTATCCTGCAGGGAGTGTACCTCCTGTCACCGCCTCACTCACCAACACTGGCACAGCGTTAATCCCGGGACAACAAGCCCAACAGACAGCAGAAAACGTCGGAGGCTAAAACAGCACCCACCACACCACGGTCGGTACCACTATCAATGATAAATTATCAATGGCACGGAACAACAAACACGTCTCTAGGGGCGCCGCAGCGGCCCCGTGGTTCACGGTAGCCTAGACAAAACAGCGACTGACAAAAGTGTAAAAAAAACAACAACCCAAACCCACCAAACTAAAAACCCAAACAAAACTGAACAAACAATACCGGCACCCGGTCTCGTAGTTCAAATAACGTCAGATCCTATACGAGAAAAACAAACATCCAAACCAAAACAAATCCTGGAAGAACACCGGCTGTCGTTGTACACGACTGAAAGTTTGGTCCTGCTGACATTCAATCGCACACAATGTACTCTTGACAACGCACTGCGCGTACATCCGATGAAAATTGAAGAGAAAAAAAGAACGTCATTCATCCGCAGAAAACGCGGTCGACTGCTTTTGAGTGTGTAGATCTTGTCTGAATTTACAATTACAGCAAAGACAACACCACAATGAAGAGCGCGGGTGAGCTTGTGTTTGTGTGGGCCTCGGTTTGTGTGAGTGTGAGGACCTGGACTGAAACACGCTGTAAAAGGCCAGACCTTTCAAGTAAGAAACGAAAATGAATGCGTGTGGGTAAGTCTAGTCCGAGATTGCACGTTCAGTCAAAACAACAGGAGCAAACAACAGCGAATGTGTGTAAATCTAGACTGAGACACATTAAAGTCGAGATCCTACAATACGTAATCATGTTACCGCCGCGCGACGGGAGGTATGTGGCACAGAAAATGACTTGAGCGTGCGTGTGTGCGCGCGCGCGTGTGTGTGAAGTGAGGAAGAAACGCGCAGTTATCAGATTCAGAAGGAGAAGAGAGGGAGAGAGAGGGAGAGAGGGAATGCAAGGTAGTCCTACTAGGCGGTTCTGCAGTGGCACAGGGGAGGGTGAATGAGAGAGAGAGAGAGAGAGAGAGAGACAGAGAGAGAGAGAGACAGAGAGAGACAGAGAGAGAGAGAGAGAGTATCGCGGAGACCCGGATTCACTGACGACACCAACCTGTGACGGCGGAGGGAGACACTTGATGCGTCACGCAACTAAAGAAATAAAGGAAGCCGCGCGTGGCGCAAAGCAAGTTGGAATTAAAGGATTCTACACAGCTGGTCATGTAAAAAGGGAACCTTTTGTTTAGTTTCAGTAAGAATGGCATATGCAACACACATATTAGAGGTGTTACAAGAAAGTAACGAACGCCAAAAGAGAGAAAGAGAGACAGAGAGAGACAGAGAGAGAGAGAGAGGGAGAGAGAGACAGAGAGACAGAGAGAGAGAGAGAGAGAGAGAGA